AACATATCCATATACCTTATCAATGCCCCAATGTTGGATCAGTGATTGAGAATTATCTTTGATGTAAGTATTCCAAACAATTATTAGCCCCGTGCTATCACCAGAAAACATGTGATATCCTGGAAAATAATAATTTGTTCACATAACAGGATGAAAAAAAGTCCTGACATTCAAATCACACAAACATCTCTTGAACACACAGACTTCTGGAAAAAACAGCTGATTTAAACTTCTTCCTTTTAAATGTTCTATTTCATCAAATACCTCCCCCCCCCGCAATTTATTTGACAACTCATAATATCCCAAATTCTTTCCAACTCAATCTTGTTTCGTCTCACACTATACAGTATTCTCTCAGCCCTGACAACTACCACAATTGTGTTTGTTCTGGCTATGCTAAGTGTTTCTGTACTCTATTAACTCTCAGATACAAGTATTCCTATAGCTTTTTACAGAAGTCCTAACAAAGTTACTCACAAACTACAACCAGCAGAGCTCCTGAGAGGTGTTATTAAAAAACGTCATGTTCCCAAGATATGGGAGCTCTAACTAAAAACAAAGTATTTTATTTTGCAAAATATCACTATCATTGGTAAAATGGTTGGAGTAATCCCACCATATCAATTAAGCTGCAAGTTCGGGAGTGACCTGTAGGATCTTGGTAGGCAGGTCGGAGGGTGAAAAGGAAAGGGAAAGAATTGGGTGTGCTGTATGACTGTGATGGAGGCAATGAGGTCTAGAAGGTGTTGAGCCTGAAGAGCAGTTACGAATGCATAAGGCTGAAAATATTGGATGAGAGAGTTTATCTTCAGTGCTCTTTCTTGAGGGAGGAACACCCATGGGACCCGGGACTCTAGGATGGCGCCTATATAGGTGACTGTGAGGGAGTGAGGACGGATTTGTGCATGTTGACCCTGAGGCCCAGATCCACTAGGAGACAAAGAGTGAAAGTGATGTCGCGCTGAGCTTGAGAGCCTGACGAGGATACTAACAGCCAATTGTCGATGTATGGGAACACCAAGATCCCTAGAGTGCAGAGATGGGCTGCCACAGGGGACATGTACTTTGCAAATACCCGCGGTGCGGTGGAGAGGCCGAATGGTAGGGCTTTGAATTCGTAAGTGCTGTGGCCGAGAGAATCGTAGGAATTTGTGATGGTCCTGTCTGATTGAGATGTGGAAATAAGCGTCACTCAACTCTATGACAGTGAACCAGTCTCCTCCTTGGAGAAGAGGAAGAATATGTTCTAATGTCACCATGTGAAAACGTCTCTGGAGAATAAAGTAGTTCAGGTCCTGAAGGTCGAGGATGGGCCAGACACTTCCATCTCTTTTGGGGACAAAGAAATAACAGAAGAAGCCTGGGCCGTTATCCTATGGGATGACTACCGAAATAGCATCCTTCGAGAGGAGTGATTGAATCTCTTGTTCTAGGGCGTTTGATGATGTAGTCAGGACTATCCTGGGAGGTGAGAGGGACAGAAACTCTATTGCATAACCAATGGATATTATAGTCAGGACCCACAAATCGGTGGTGATGGACACCCAAGATGGAAAATGGGCTGCTAGACAGATGGTGGTGAATAGTGGGATACGAAGAGAGCAGATCTGGGCGATAGGAGAGTCAAATATTGTGGAACAGGAGGCTGAGACTCGATGGAAGATTATTTTTTTGGTTTGGAAGCGACTGGTTTTGGAACGGCTTTTGGTGTCGGGGTGGACTGGGATGTCAACCTCGAGGACTTCGACTGCAGTAATTTCGATTTTGTTTTGGTGGTTGTCGGTAACAGAGAGTTAACAGTAGAAGGTGCCAGGGGTGGTTGTGAGGCTTGTACCTCATCCATAGTCGCTGGTGGACATAGGGATCGCTCCCATAAAAAAGACTTAAGTCGTTGCTGACAAAGTTTGATGGCTTGTTTAGTGAATTTTTTACAAAAAGAGCAAGTAATCGGTTGGTGAGATTCCCCAAAGCAAAACAAACAAGAATCATGGCCATCCATGAGAGCCAGTTTGTTAGGGCAAGAAATGCACCTCTTAAACGGTCCTGCGTGGGCCATAGAGCGCAGGAAAGAGGGAAAGGGTGGTAGGAAAAAATGGGATCAAGTCTCTTTCAAATCTGACGGATTAAAAGTCTATTCTTCTATAGAATCAATTTGTTTTGATGTTTATTTCTCTAGAGAAAAGAACCAAGAAGCGTGAACGGAGAGCTCGTCAACAGATGAGACCTCAGCAGTGGCAAAAAGGAACTGAGGCAATCACCAGGACCACGTGTGTTAGGGGGGCGGTCCTGGAGAATGGGTGTTTGAGCTCTAGGATATTCCGGAGATTTCTGCACAGGCACAGATTAACCCATTAGTGTGCATTCACAGAGGCCATGAAGAAGAACACATGGCTCACATTCAGTACGGGATTAATTATGACATAGGCACTTTTTCATAAGTACTTTTACTTGAAATATGGGGAACCAGATCTCAGAACTGAAATGCAATTTGGACCTGACAAATGCAAAAAATGCTTTTCTGCCCATAACATTATCTGTTCTGACCAATCCCACAGAATTCCATTCATTCAAATTGGAATAAGTTCAGAGGAGACCAACAAGGATGATCAGAGGACTGGAAACCAAGCCTTATGAGGAAAGGCTGAAAGAACTGGGCATGTTTAGCCTTGAGAAAAGAAGATTGAGGGGTGATATGATAACTCTTTTCAAATATTTGAAAGGCTGTCATACAGAGGAGGAGGCAAGATCCGTTTTCAGTCATCCCAGAGTGCAGGATAGTTAAAGGAAGCCAAATTTTGGTTGAATATCATAAAAAAACATCCTAACTGTTAGAGCAGTATGACAGTGGAACCAGTTACCTTGGGAGTTGGTAAATGCTCCAGCACTGGAGGCATTCAAGAAAAACTTAGACAACCACCTGACAGATATCCTGTGATTTATATTCCTGCACTGAGCAGGGGGCTGGACTGATGGCCTTGTAGGCCCCTTCCAACTTCACTTTTCTATGATTCTGATTCATTTTCCCAGGGCATTCAATGTGGGTTTTTCTCCCGATGCTTTTGATGTATATACAAACTCTGTCCCTCTTGAAATTCCAGGGAGCTACAGACAATTCCTTTCTCCATGCTCAATCAATCACATATCACATAGTTAGTGGAAGAATAAGGGGGGAAATGGTTACATACAGGGCTTTCACAGTGAAATGATTTGCAGCAACTTACCTTCTGCATCAAAACATAATGTATTGATAAAACCTCTGTGGCCGTCAAACTCTTGTAGAAGCTGCCCATGTATTTCCTTCACTTTTGCATTCCATACCCTCATCACAGAGTCATAACACCCTGTTACTACTATATATTCAACCACTGGATGGTACTTAGCAGTGTAGACAAACGAAGGATGTGGAAAAACTTTCATGGCTGATGTCATTTGAGCCTCAATCTTCCACATTCTAGAAAGAAGCAAGATAGAAATATGTTACCATATTGCAGAATATATGCAATTTCAATAACTACTCATTTGTGAGTACACACACAAAGAGAGAGAGAGAGAGAGAGAGAACCGTACCACTCTGAATATACCAGATTTTGACTTCTGTTTGGAACAACAGTTGCCCACACCTGTCTGTATTTGAGGGTATCAGATGTAATCTAGCTTAGCCTATTAACCATATCTGAAGGATCGCATCATCCCACATGAGCCTTCTTGGCTCTTAAGATCTCCTTGGAAGGCCATTCTCTCAGTTCCACCACCCTCCCCATCTCATTTGATAAGGACATGAGAGTGGGCCTTCTAAGTGGCTGCCCCTGGGCTTTGAAATCTAATGCCCCAAGAAGCCAGATTGCCACCCTCCCTCCTGTCCTTCCATTATCAGTCAAAGACTTTTATTTTCAGGCAAGCCTTTAAGCAGTAAATGGGGTTCTAGGGGATTCTCTATTTATAAAATTCAGTTTTTTTTTAAAAAAACACTCCAGTTTATGAATGTGAGATGTTGTGCTTTTGTACCCATGATTCAAAAAGCCACAAAATGGCCCTATATTGCTGCAAAATATCATGCCCACGTTGCCCGCAGGAAAAAAGATGCCAAGCGTTACATAGCAAAGGGCAGCCTGAACGCTGAAAACACCAATGGCAGTAGTCAAGAGAGTCTATAGCAGTGATTCCCAATCTTGGGTCCCCAGGTGTTCTTGGACTAAATCTCCCAGAAGCTTTCACCACCAGCTGTGCTGGCCAGGATTTCTGGGACCTGTAGTCAAAGAACTACTAGAGACTCAAGGTTAGGAACCACTGTACCCACTTGTACTCACTACCATTCACAAAGTGATGCTAAAGCAGGAGAAAACCCCAGATGCTGACTACTTGTTTCATCAATTAGCCCCATGTCACCCAACCGCAATCCAAATTTCCTCATTTCTGGAGGACTGTCGCTCCATTACTTTCTTTAAGGCAGGCCTGTTTTGTTGTTTCTTTTTTACTCTTCAGAGAAAATCTGTTATTTTACTATTTCTGTGACCTTTCATTGCCTTCCAAACAGCTACTTTCCTTGAATGCATAGCTGCAGCAAATGACCTTTCATTGCCTTCCAAACAGCTACTGTCCTGGAATGCACAGCTGCAACAAACTAATTACCCTGTTTCTCCAAAAATAAGACCTAACCTGAAAATAAGCCCCAGTATGATTTTTCAGGATGCTCATAAGCTCTATCCCAAAAATAAGCCCCAGTTAAGTGAAATCACGCCCTCCGCCATTGTGCTGCACCCAGAATACATGATTGTATTTGAATAAATGTAGATTGTTGTACATGAAAAAAATAAAACATCCCCTGAAAATAAATCCTACTGCGTTTTTGGAGCAAAAATTAATATAAGTCCATGTCTTATTTTTTGGGAAATATGGTAATTTGGAATGTCTTGGGGGTAAGCCTGTTCCACACATTCCTCAGTTTATAAGGCCTTTTTTAAGGATCAGTGTTTCAGCTCTGTCACCTGTAGTCCTTCCCTATTTAAAAAAAAGGTATGGGGCCAATCGGTCTCTTTCAAAATAAGCAAGATTGGCATTTTCAATTATTTGATATGTTTTAAATCTGGGGATGTCTAAGGTTGCTTGTTTCTACATGGGAGGCAGTTTTACTTTAAAAAAAATCATAACAGGAAAACCATTCACTCAAATGTCTCCAAATCTGGTACAGAGCAAAAGCAAACTGTCTGTTATATTTGTGCCAAATTTTGTGTAGATCTGATGTCTAGATAAATTATAAAATAAATATAAATCAAAACTAAACATATTCAGCACACTCAACCATAGACCTTTAAGACAGAGAGGTGTGCTGCCCCAAAACTCCCACAAATCCTTTCTACTTTCAGTGGAATTATGGGGATTAGGGCTGCAGATTTTGGTGGAAGCAAAATTCTTCCATTTGTTTGTGTGAAGAACTAGATGCAAGTACATGCAATCTGAATAGATAAGCTCAGCTATACAGGTACTGACCTTGCAGTGCCATCTGAGGATGCAGTAAGAAGATGCTGATTATCCTTTGACCAGCAAAGATCATACACAATGTTAAGATGTCCATAAAATTCTCGTAAGAATTCCCCAGAAGGAATCTCATATACTGACAAAAACATAAAAGGATATTTTAGATGTTTAGCGACACATAAAGTTAAACAGTCATTAAAGTTAAACTTGGATGCCCAGATTTCAGCTGTCAACAGGAGTGCCTTTGTACAGTTGAAACTAATGTGCCAGCTGCATCCATTCCTAGAGCAGTCTAATTTGCCACAGCGACACATGCCTTTGTTACATTCAGGATGGATTAATGCAATACATTCTATGTGGGGCTGCCTATGGGAAGGGTCAGGAAACTTCAGCGGGTCCAAAACTCATCAGCCAGATTGTTAACTGGGGCACGACACAGGGATCACACAGCCCGTTACAGCAGCTCCACTGGCTGTCAATCCATTTCCAGGCTGAATTCAAAGTATTGGTTCTAACCTATAAAGCCCTGAACAGCTTGGGTCCAAGCTATCTCAAGGACCTAAACTCTATGGCTTGGGTTCAAGCTACCTCAAGGACCTCAACTCGAGCCTGCTCGAGTGTTAAGATCATCAGGAGACGCCTTCCTCTTGGTCCCACCACCTTCACAGGTGCACTTGGTGGGGACACGGGAGAGGGCCTTCTCTGTTGCTGCTCCCAGACTCTGGAACTCCCTGCCACAGGAGACTAGGCTGGCCCCATCTTAACTACCTTTCCGCAAGAAGGAAAAGACCTTTCTTTTCAGGCAAGCTTTCCCTGAAAAAATGAATGCCAACTGGGGTTCTTAAAATGGATGGTGCTGCTGCATTGGATGTGTTTTGGTGTTGCCTGTGTTTTTTGGTATTGTATTCATTGATCATTTTAGTATTGTATACTCATTTCTGATCTAAAATATTGTCTTTTTATTGCTGTAGGCTGCCTTGGGTTCTTTTTTAAGGAGAAAGACAGGTTAAAATGTATTAAATAAATAAACTAATATTCCACAAGCATCAAAATAAAATCTAATCGGCTTCAAAATCATTTTACTTTGACAACACACATCGTATAACTGGTATTAATAATAATGAGTAGTGGCAAGGCCACTAGATGTTGTGCTCTGTATAAATAAATAAATAAATAAATAGATAAATAAATAAATAAATAAATAACCACCACACAGTCAGACATTTTCCAAGGGAAATTCATTATCTTTGAACATTAAGTATTCAATTCTATCAACACAAAGCTTAGTCTATATATGCGAATGTATCTTCTGCCATCTAGTGGCAGGATGATTATGCTATACAACATGCCTAAGTAATTTAAAAAGATATAATCATGTGCTGTCAAGTTAATGCTGACTTATGACTCTTTTCAGGGCTTTCCAGGTAGAGAGTACTCATAAGTGGTGCACCACTCCGTTCTTCTGGGGGCGCCCTGGGACTCTGCAGCTTGCCCAAGGCCACCCAGGCTGGCTCTTCTCCCAGAAAGCTCCAGGGGGAATTGAACTCCCAACCTTTGGCTCCGCAGCCAGATACCTAAACCACTGAGCCAGCCAGCCAGCTCAAAAGGACTTAAATCAGGCCTAAATCAAGGACAGAATTATGTTTCAAGTACTGTATAGCTCTATTATTTGATAACTGCTCACCAACAAGCAATGCCGAGGTGCCACAAATATTGCAACAGTCACTAATGCTCATAGTACAGTACCATTTTCTATACAGCTCCATTCATTTCCTTTTCACATTACAACACCCAGGGTTCTTTCCATGCCATTCCCTTGTCCATTACACTTCATGAATCATCCTAGCCTGTATACATCTGGTTACATCTGCTCTGTCTTCCTTTATGCATTCATATCCCTTCATCCAACCTTTTTGTCTTTCTGTCCATCTTGCAGGATGAAAACAAAGCCATTTTTAAAAAGATTGGTAAGATCTGACTAGTCTCCTGAGCATCTGGTACCCAGGGAGATCATGGCTTTGTTTCCAATCCTCCAGTTTTCTGGCTTCTGCTCTGTTGAAACAGTTTTAATCCTTTTTAAAGTGTTTTAGATTATTTTAAAAGTTTGGATGTTTTACTTTACCATAAGGTAATTTTACCCAGATCTATTGACATAGTATGGTCAGAAATACTTCACTATAATAGATAAATAAGTTTGAAGCAGACCACATTGCTTTTTTATTGGAGAAAGTGCCACACATACATTTATTTTAAAACCAACACATCACTTTATTTTGTTTAAAAATAAGCACAGAGGGGATGAGTTGACTTGGAGATGTCACAGACACCAGTTATATCTAACACCTCTCATCTAAACATGTTAGAGGAAAGGCACAATACGTTTGTTCAATGTAATGATAAATTACATTTTTAACATTACATCTGATCAAAACCTATGTTATAGTTGCCAAGCCCCTAAATACTCTGACTTGTGAATAAATGATGTTAGGGCTATGCAACATCTATATCACAGACAGTGATAAAGAAGGTGGGAAGGTAAAATGAATCTACTGACTGAATGCTGTTTTTATTTAACTTAAAGAAAAAGGGCTGGTCAGATTTTTACCAGATCTGTGTTCTTCAAAAGACAAAGAAACATTTTTCCATTCTAATCCCCTATGAACAAACTTGCAACAAGTATATTATTCACCTGCCTTTCTTCTTTTTAGTAGGGATTAGTAGGCATCCTTCAGTCTCGAAAGACTATGGTATCGTGCTCTGTATGGAGGACTTGGAACAGCGTCTAGTGTGGCTGAGGAGGCCAATTCGAGAGTGACAATCCCTTCCACACTGGAGACAAATCCAATCTGTCCCCTGTCCAGCTCCCTGGTTTTGCTTCCTTTGTGACTTCCTCTTTGCCTCAGCCTGCTGGACAAGGGTCTCTTCAAATTGGGAGAGGCCGTGATGTACTGCCTGCCTCCAGGCTGAACGATCAGATGTCAGAGTTTCCCATCTGTTGAGGTCTATTCCTAAGGCCTTCAGATCCCGCTTGCAGATGTCCTTGTATCGCAGCTGTGGTCTCCCTCTGGGGCGATTTCCCTGCACTAATTCTCCATATAGGAGATCCTTTGGAATCCGACCATCAGCCATTCTCACAACGTGCCCAAGCCAGCGTAGACGTCGCTGTTTCAGTAATGTATGCATGCTGAAAATTCCAGCTCGTTCTAGGACTACTCTATTTGGAACTCTGTCCTGCCAGGTGATACCAAAAATCCGTCGTAGGCAACGCATATGGAAGGTGTTCAGCTTCCTCTCCTGCCGGGCACAAAGTGTCCAGGACTCGCTGCAGTACAGGAGTGTGCTCAGGACACAGGCTCTATAGACCTGGATCTTGGTATGTGTTGTCAGTTTCTTATTGAGCCATACTCTCTTTGTGAGTCTAGAGAACATGGTGGCTGCTTTCCCAATGCGTTTATCCAGCTCGACATCTAGAGAGAGGGTGTCAGAGATGGTTGAGCCAAGGTACACAAAGTCATGAACAACCTCCAATTCTTGTGTGGAGATGGTAATAGAGGGAGGTGAGTCCACACCCTGGCCCATGACTTGTGTTTTCTTCAGGCTGATTGTTAGTCCAAAGTCTTGGCAGGCCTTGCTGAAACGGTTCATGAGTTGTTGGAGGTCTTCAGCAGAGTGGGCAACAATGGCTGCATCGTCTGCAAAGAGGAAGTCCCTCATGCATTTCAGCTGGACTTTGGTCTTTGCTCTCAATCTAGAGAGATTAAAGAGCTTTCCATCTGATCTAGTCCGGAGATAGACACCTTCTGTTGCAGTTCCAAAGGCATGCTTCAGCATGACAGCAAAAAAGATCCCAAAAAGTGTTGGTGCGAGGACACAGCCCTGTTTCACTCCGCTTCGGATGTCAAAGGGATCTGATGTTGAGCCGTCAAAAACTACAGTGCCTTTCATTCCATCGTGGAAGGACCTGATGATGTTAAGGAGACGAGGTGGACATCCAATCTTGGGAAGTATTTTGAAAAGGCCATCCCTGCTAACCAAGTCAAATGCTTTTGTAAGGTCTATGAAGGCCACTAAGAGTGGCTGTTGTTGTTCCCTGCATTTCTCCTGCAACTGTCGGAGGGAGAATACCATGTCAGTGGTGGATCTATTAGCTCGAAATCCACACTGTGATTCTGGATAGACTCTGTCTGCAAGCACCTGGAGCCTCTTCAGCACAACACGGGCAAGCAGCTTCCCTACAACGCTAAGAAGAGAGATACCACGGTAGTTATTGCAGTCACCCCTGTCACCTTTGTTCTTGTACAACGTGACAATGTTTGCATCCTTCATGTCCTGTGGTACTCCACCTTCCCTCCAGCAGAGACAAAAGATTTCATACAGTTCGGTGATGATGATCTCCTTACCGCATTTCAGCACTTCAACAGGGATGTTGTCCCTTCCAGGTGCCTTGCCAGAGGTGAGGGAATCCAAGGCCGCATTTATTTCTGCTAGGGTTGGTTCGCTGTCCAGCTCTTCCAAGACAGGCAGGCACTCAATGTTATTTAATGCTTCTTCGGTTACTACATTCTTTCTGGAATATAGCTCGGAGTAGTGCTGCACCCAGCGTTCCATCTGCTGTGCTCGGTCCTGGATGATCACACCTGTAGTAGACTTCAAGGGAGCAGATTTCTTCTGTAATGGACCTAAGGCCTGCTTGATACCATCATACATTCCTTTGATGTTACCTGTGTCCGCTGCTATCTGTATCTGAGAGGAAAGCTGAAGCCAGTAGTCATTGGAGCATCTCCTGGCAGCCTGTTGGACTTGGCTACGAGCGGCTCGAAGAGCTTGCAGGTTGTACTCGCTAGGACAGGCTTTGTATGCTGCTAGAGCTCTTCTCTTATCCTCAATGGCTGGCATTAACTCCTCCGAATGGGCTTCGAACCAGTCAGCCATCTTTCTGGTCTTCTTGCCGAAGGTGGACAAGGCGGTGTTGTAGACAGTGTTCTTGAAGTATTCCCATCGTTCAGGTGCATTTACATTAGCTGGACCTGGAAGGGTTTCCTCGAGTGCTTGGGCAAATTCCTTCACTTTTCTTTGATCGCGAGTCTTGTTGATGTCAATACGTGGTCTTCCTTCCTTTTTCATGTGATACAATTTCTTTGTTCGCAGTTTTACTCTACTACACACCAGGGAGTGATCAGTATCGCAATCAGCACTCTGGTAGCTGCGTGTGATCGTAACACTAGGAAGGCTAGAACGTCTAGTGAGGATCAAATCGAGCTGATGCCAATGCTTGGATCTTGGATGTCTCCAGGAAACTCTGTGTTGCAGCTTCGTATTAAAGAATGTGTTGCTTTCTTCTACTCTTGCCTTTCTTCTACTCTTTCTTCTACTCTTACTCTTGCCTTTCTTCTACTCTTACAACATTATTATTATGTTTTCCAATTTTAAGTGGGTCCCAATCACTAATTATTACAAACAGCATACAGACGTATACTATTGATAAAGAAATTTTCCAGACATTGCATGGCTCCCACACAAAGAATGCACTTCTGCATGCAGGTTTGGCGGGAAAACTTCTAGCATATATATAATATTCTGTTCATCGATATTTTGATCCTGGTCTTTATTTTTAAACAATTCCTCTCCACACAACAAAAGTAGCATGCATGTCCTTTTCAGGGGGGGAAAAAAGCAGACAAAACATTTTCTGAATTAAAATCAAAATATGCCTTGAGAGTATAACTTACAAAGAACAGGATAACCATATCTTCCAGCACAACCTGCTGCTAATGTCCTGCCATCTTCAGAGAAACTAATACAGAAACATCCCATATCTCCTGTTCGCAGGGAAAACAGATACTTGTTTGGTATGCGACAAACCTGCATTTCCAAAGTAAAGCATTATTTGCATACATGTATATTAACAGTAACTGTAACTATTTCCAGAGAATTAACTGTATTCATTCATTCATTACAGTGAAAAACAGGGTTAATTTAAAAACAAAAAAATGCATTATTACATGAATGATTAGTTTAGAATCAACCTAAGACGCATGAAGTGGCAAATATTGTGTGTGTGTGTGTGTGTGTGTGTGTGTGTGTGTGTGTGTGTGTGTGTGTGTGTAAAAACTATGATACAGAAGGATCTGTTTGCCTCTTTATACATCTTTTTCATTTTTCTGTACTGGAGAAGGACATCCTAAAATCAGAGAAAAAAGCAAACTACCTCAGGATGTCTTACATCCCCTAAATAAACATACCATAATAAATATCAGTACCCCTTTCCTGAGATTTTACATGGAATTGGAAGCAAACCTCAGACTTGCATGCTTTATTCATAATCTGCCCCTTTCTCACTTGCCACATCACAAACACATGATAACACGTGCCAAGGGTCAATATACATATTATAGCCGCCTTTCCCAACTTGGTGCTTTCTGAATTCTTTGCAACAGAACTCCTATTATCATATCTCTAGCTAAGCTTTGCACACAAAAGTTCTCAGGTTTAATTCTGACAAAGGCCTGAGCAAGTCCTTTATTTGAAACGCTGGAGCCACTGACTATCAGTTTGTTCTGAGAGCTGTTGTGGAACCCGGAAACCGGGTCATGAAGCCATGGTTGGGGTGTCGTCTCTCCCCAAACCATCCAAGGGGACTCAGACATCTCCACCTCCTATTCCTCCTAGGCCCGTGCATCGAGGAGTTGATAACCAAGACTTAACCCAGGCAATGAAGGGGTTAACAGTATCCACCCAGACCTATCCTGAAATGGTGGGAAGAGAGGAGAATGGGCGGTCTGTGATGGAGGCGGGCATGGGTGATTTAAAAGGGAACCGGGACGAGATCCCGAGGGGTTGGGAGTTGATTTGGATGCAGGACCCGTGGACTGGGCGATGGGAATAGGTCCGGGTTCCAAAGCATGAGGCTGAGAGTTGTAGGAGGAAAGGACTCCCACAGCGCTCATCGTACTGGGGTGAATCTGAAACCCGGGAGTGGCAACGTAAGCTGAGGGAGGAGAAAGAAGCAGCTGAATGAGAGCGAGAGGCAAAGAGGGCATGGCCTCTGGAGGAGTTGAAGAGGCTGGGGTGTTACCTGGACCTTGGAGTGCCAGCCCAGGAGAAGGATCGTCGCTTTGGGGCTGGTCGAGGGATGAAGAAACCACCCCCTTACTGATACCGGATGCAGGAGATGATGTGCCCCAAGAACCCGAAAGGGTTCTGGCTGGTCCCTGAGAGCACCACCCTACAAACCCTTTTGAAGTGGACATGTGGTTGCCCCTGTCTGAGCCGTTGCTCACGCAGGAGAAGTTTGTTCCCCGTTTACATGATGTTTCTGTGCCGTTGCCAGAATTAATAAATAAAAACACTACTTTGGATTTAAAAGCGTCTCAGACTTTATTTGGGGAAAGGGAGGTCCCGCAAACTGAACCCTCACAGCTGTGTTCCAGGATACCTAGGTGGTATCAGATTGTAGAAGGTCTTCTCTTCATGCTGTATACCTGCCATTTTTTTTTTTTTTGAAGACCAACTAGCTGTAGGACTCCAGTATGGAATGTGTTCCTGATCTGGGCCACATACTAGTTGCTCACTCAACCCACTGCTACACCTGCTGTTTGCCATAAACCTCACCTTTGGGGGCAAAGAGAACTTTTGGGGCAAATAGCGCCTGTTGCAGGGTTTATAAGAATAGAGTGAGCAACATCTATCCAGATTTGGAACATATTTCGAAGTACAACTCTACAGCTTCTTTTTCTTCAGGATAAAAATAGTAGTTTAATCACACTCATAGCCAAATGATATATTACTGTGGTTTTCTAGAAGTATATTTGGAGCCTATATCCAAAAGTGTGGGGTCTCCCTGACACATTGGAGTAGCTCTTGCAAGAAAGACTATGTCCTCATGCAGTAAGGGAAGAAATGTGTGAGTTCAAATGTTTCATTGTCCCCCACATCACCAATAATTTGGTAGATGAACAAGACAAGGAAGACTGAGGAACATAAGCAATTAAAAAAACCCTACTGAACACTATACTTTGCCCTTGTTAAAACATGTTCATAATTTAACAATCTAAACATCACTGTTCATTTATATTTTACTACAATAAATCCCAATTGTCACAATTGCAAAACTTCCACAATTCACACAAATATTAACTATAGCAGAGATTTTCCATAACTGAAGCAAATAAAAGGACACCCATTCATTTTCTGTTTACATCAAAAAAATATTCTGCTACACCATTAAATAGAATCAATGGATGACAGCTGATTTCCAATTTGAACTTTTTAAAAGCTAGTTTCACAATGTTTACATATGAAAAGTACTTCTGACACTTGCCTGTCCTGGAAGTTTTGACCACTTAAATGGTTCTTGCTTTTCCACTTTTGGTCCAGAATTATTAACCTTTCTGGATACTTCACTTTGCAGGTCCAAAAATGATGGGGAATGGTATTCTTGCTGAACAGCCATCATAGAACGTAAAGAAGGGTCTACCTGCAAATAGATAAATGCAAATTTAATTTGGCAGATGAAACATAATGAACAATATAATGACTAACAAAACAATACAGAAGTTGAAGTATGCATATGAAACACATTTTAAACAGATCAAAAGTCCATTGCAGCAAGAATTGGTTAACATGTCCAACACACAATCTGATTTATCCGTAGCTGGTGACTCACAGATCAATATGTGAAGTCACAAATGCATTAGGTTTCAGGAGATGAATAAGTTACATGAGACTACTCTGGATTACTGGATTTGTGGTTGCTTGTTGACAACTGAAACCACTACTTGCTTCTAGAATCACAGGTATGTGTGAACCACCCAATAATACCAAATGGCAAAGATTACTTCTGTAAGCTACTTCTGTGTGAGAACACAAGCATTCGTTGAATTGGCTTGTGCTACAATACTAAAGCATATCCATAAAAGAATGCAGCATCTTAGTACATTTAAAGAATAGTGCTAAAGAATGGGAACATGCCTGAGTGACAGATCCACTAAGACTGAAATTCTAAATGCCCTTACTAGAGAGTAATCCCCACTGAAAAATTTACAACTTACTTCCAAGTGAACAAGCACAGATTCTGTTTGTATTACAGTATGCAATTTGTATTATCATAAATAGGACCAGGCAATGAGTAAGAGTCCAACTCTTGATGAGGTAGGATGAGACACCCATCCTCTGTCCTATCTACAGTAAGTTAACATGGACGATTCAAGGAACCTGGCTGACATCCAGTTAAACCAGCACTGTTACTGCTGACACCAATTGACAGTGGCTGTCCAAGATTTCAGAAAGGAATGTTTTCAGCCCTAATGAGTACCAAGGATGGAATATGATCCCCTTTTCCAAAAATACAAATGACTCCCAGTTGCTTCAAAGAAAGCACAGACTGTTGCCTACTTGGGATGGTGGGTTTGCAGGCTAGAATAGGTAACTGCTTCCTATAGTTCTTTGGGACATAATTGGCCATTCTGTGGGCAATGTTCTGTTTTTAAAGATGCACTGTGGACTGGAGGGGCCTCAGAGGACACACTAGAGCCTTGACGTTGCTGCTCCAGATTGTTGCATGGAGGCAACACTACTGGGAGTTGCATTGCTTCTCGTTACTGCTGAGAACCAAAGTGGGTGGACGTCAGCACATGGAGGTTATACTTTTCAGCCAAAGATAGATTTTCTTCTCGGAAAAGAATTCCGTCTGGCCTTCATCACTATCTTCAGCACCAAGGTATCAATGTGATCTTATCAAGACAATGCTAGCAATAATGAATGGAAACAGTTATGTACAGTGGTGCCTCACTTAGCGATAATCCGTGCAGCAAAAATTGCTGCTAAGTGATAACATCGCTAAGCGATTTTAAAAAGCCCATAGAAACGCATTAAAATGCATTTAATGCGTTCCTATGGGCTTCCAAACTAACCTTAAGCGAAAATCCTCCATTGCGGCGGCCATTTTCGGTGCCTCTAAAGCGAGGCAAAACAGCGGGCGGCCGTTTTTCCCCGGCAGCCATTTTGGAACTGCCGATCAGCTGGCCGAAAATGGGGGCTTTGCGAGGATCGCTTCCCTGCGATCATCGCAAAGCGAATTTTCCCCATAGGAAACATCGCAAAGCGATCGCTTTTGCGATTGCAAAAACAGCATCACTAAGCGATTTTGTCGCTCAACAGAGCAATCGCTAAGCGAGGCACCACTGTATTTCTGTTCACTTATGAGAGCTCGCTAGAGCAAAGCATAGCCAAATACTCCGAAACTTCAGAATAAACCAGCTCAAAAAATATGGAAAACAAAACTGTGTGTATTCTAGAATTTTGCAGGTAGTTTCAGTATATTGACACCAAACGAAGTAAAAGAAGCAACTGAAAATACTTGATGAACACTTTATTTACAAAAGTCAGCAGCCAAATGACAGAAAAATACTGAAAAGGACAAAATGGATGGGAGCACCCAAATAAAATGTTGATTATTTTCTTTTCACTGCTAGTTTACGAAGGACCATACAATAAGAACAAATTAAAAATACTTCTCAATATCAAATCAACAAAAGCATCAGTGAATTTTTATGGCTCCTGTACAACTTCTCTTACATGATCTGGAAGTTTAATGCCCTTCACAGTTACATAGAGCGTCGAAGGATAATGGATTCTGGGATATTTTGCCCACCAGTCATAAACTTCCACAGTACTGATTTGTGACCTGTTCCTTGGAGGAGAATACAGCTGAAGACGGAGTTTTCCACCAACATTCAGAACTCCATTTGCACCTACAAGCTAAAAATGTCAAAATATACACATTACTCCTTTCACTAACAGACCAAGTAACATAATTGTTTGTAATATGGCAATTTAAGTCAATAATTTTACTACTATTCCAGCTATCTGTGCAAAATCATATTGAAAAGCAACACAGTATAGAAACTATGGCTTGTCTGTGAAGCAGGGAGAATGTATACTGTAGGTCTATCCGTCAAGCTATAATCATTTAAAGCAGGGATCCCCAACCATTTTCAGGTTGCAGACCGGTTGGGGGTGTGTGCGGACTCTATGCATGGGGGGGTGGGGGCACCCCTGTGCTCGTGGGTGGGCGTGTCACGCTCACGGATGGGCATGTCTCGCTTGCGGAGGGGCGTGTCATGCTCGCAAGTTGTTTCCATTCACAAATTGATTCTGCTTAGGGATTATATGAATACTCCAGTAAAATGTTTTCATTAAAACCAAACAAACTCTTAAATACCTTTAGAAATGCCCAACAGATTTTCCGAAAGCCACTTTCATGAGCTTGACCTTTATACTTGGACTTTGCATCATTCATGCTTAAAAAATCAAGGATCTGGAAGCATACCAAAGTTACATTTAGCTCACATTCTGATAAGCACATGCCCATACGTATCAACTCTTTTGCAGATAAGCACATATTTTCCAAATCATTCTACATGCTCTTTTCCTTGGGCAAGCAACTCTTCTAGTAAATGCCTCATATGGTAAGTTTCTGTAACTCTCTATGTCCAGAATGACAGAAACTCAAGTCCCTCCTGTAAGCTGGTCAGAATAAGGCTGGAAGCCATGAAAGACAGTGGACGGGGATCTTCTTATAAGAAAGACTTGGGACAGAACGGATTCATTAAGGATCAAGGAAGCATCCTAGCTGATACTGTGTTAGACAGCCTTCTAGAGACACGATCTGCTTTTTTCCCCACCACCCAGGAATTCCTATGAGAGCTACATGGGAAGAGACGCTTAAAAGAAACTGTAGCCCACTATTGTCTCACAGCCTAGACATTACCTTAAAATTCACTAAGACTAAATGGTACTATTAAAAAAGCTCTGCAGGGGCAGCCAGGAAAACCTTAATGGTCATTGACAAGAGGCTGGACTCAATGGGTTCTTTTCTTTATAAAGATGATTTAGGAAAGTAACTGATCTAATAATATCATTTCAGTACAGTACTACCTTTCTTTGAAATACTTTATTTCATTAGCATCAAACCACACATAAAAGATACTAGCAAAAATTAAACAGGACATGATAAAACTTAAGAGGTCCATACCTCAAAAAACAGTATCACTTTTGGGCTTTCTTCAGCATCTTGAATAAAATAGTTAAACCGTTCATTGAATATGATTTGCTCCTCCCATTCTGGAAGTGTTGATTTAAATTGTTTGAAATCATAAGGCTGGGTCATAATGGGGAGAATATGTCCAACTGTCTCTTGTTCATAGAACGATGACACTGGCCGGCTGCTGTATTAAAACGAGTAAGTGTTGTTCAGTCTAGCTGTACTTCTTTGCCAAAAGGAGTAATTACGAGATCATTCATGCTGCAGAGAAATTAAGTGTTTGATCTCTGAGTGTCAACTAGCTGTAGTATGTTTGAATCTGCTGTCCCGTCTCAAGGACTATTCTAGGCAAAATCCACAGCTTCACAAAGTACAATCTAAATGATTCTGCCTCAGATCAAGTTGAACATAACATTACTTCCTTACTAGAAGAAAGCCTGACAGCAGTGGTGAGCTAACTGCAGTCTCAAGACTATATACAATTTCCCCAAGCTGTTTTTGCTTTCCCCAGTAGTCTCCTATGTCCTATTTTCTGAGATCAAAAAGGTAAGCTGCCACTCCTGGAAGTCTTCAGAAGTGTTGATTTTTAAATAACTTCAGCTCTCTCCATTACAGTATTTAACACAAGCAAATACTGTACTCATTTTTAAAAACCAGAAAAGGACTTGCAGCCACTTCTTGTTTTGCCTTTTCTGCATTTTTTGCTGATCTGTGCAACTCCCAGAGAGCTTTAGGATGGAAAACACCAAAGTTGCCTATTACAATTTAAAGCAAACAATCTAAAACATAGTAATTTAATTTCTACATGCAACATCCTTTTAAACCTAGACAATCTCTAGGTTGTGCAGCCTAGCACAATGGTTGTACTGCAAAAGACATGTGTATGTAGATAGATGCTCTTTCTAGTTACACAAAAACTTCTAGCTCTACCACACATTTGTTCAAAACCATTTGGAGAACTAGATTATCTACTGCTGTGAAAATTCATCTGTTCTTATTTTAAAACACACAGAAAGACATGGTTCCAGGTTGTCAACACTAATGTGAACATTTGGAAGACCAGGGACAAATTAAGGTATAATAAGAACAGAAATAAAACTTCGAAGTTAGTAAAATTACCTATTCTCTTTCTTGACATATAAGCCAGTTTTCTGATCAACCACATGAATCTTGACCATGGGATGTGACACCATAAGGTCAGTTTTAAGCCTATCAGTTCGATGAATATAAACACCTAAAACAAGGCTATCATCGAAAGCAGGCTTTGGTTCTGCTGAAACAGTTCCAGAAGCCACCTGTGATAATTTTTCATCAGCGTTTTCTTGATCATCTTCAAGTGCTAGGAAGAGAAAAAAGCATCCAATAAGAGCTAATTACTATTTAAATTAAAGCTGTGCAGTGTTCTTAAGTAACTTTCCTTTACGCATAATACCCTATGAATATCAATTCACTATCAACTGCATATTGATTTAGGTACACGTATATAATGTATTAGACAAATATTGTTCAGCATTCCACAAGTGGAAGCAGAAAAAAATGTTTTCCATATAAAGTATATTTACAATCCCAGGTTCCATTCTAAACAGATTTGTCAGCAAGCCTAATGGTGTAGAGCCAAAGCACAAAGTGACAACATACAGACAAAATTTAATTTTTTTTGTACAAAATTGGCCACAACTTTACTGGTTACAGCTGCCAATAGCCCTGATGCTAGCATGGAAGACAGATCCCCACCTGCCATCTAATGCTGCCAAAGGAGACATATTTAGGGTTAAGCACGTGGACATAAGCTATTTGTGGCCCCGTTTGTCCCTCAACAGGGTGGAAAGCACACAACAGTCCCTCAGCCAGGCATGTACATGACTTCTCCACTTCTAACCCACCAAGAGGGTCCACCTAGGGGAGCGCCCTGCACTACCGCCTAGATCCATCCTCCTGCTCCACAAATTGCTTCCAACCAAGTTGTTACAAGTAGTTAACAATTCTCAACTACAAGCTCATAACAATAAAGCTCATAACCAATCATGCTCTACAGTCTTTAGCGAGTACCCAAAAATGTAAATTTAGAGGGAATGTGGGCAAGAGATGCTTCAAAGCCAAAGTGAGATCCGCAGCGACTGGCAACACAATTTATGTTTCCCAGGCAGACCAGACTGGAAACCCTGTCCTTCCAGATCACCTGGAGAACTGCTATTTCCTGCTGCCAATCCCACTGGCCAATTTGAATTCTGCATGCGGGAAAGCCCTCAGGTCAGTGGGCTTTAGAAAGGAGAAGCCACACCAAATATGGTGCCCACCAAATCCTCCAGCTGTGGAGCCGCCACTGTTGACAAACCATGGCTCTAGGTGAGTTCAGGACTGGTCCTTGCCAACAATTAATATAAAATAAAATACTCCCTTACCAGGTATATGTAAGAGTTTCACAAATAATTATTAACAAAACAGTTTTTAAAAGGGGGGGGGCAATACTTTGAGAAGTTTTATGGGAAATTATTCTTTAGCTGGAATTTCTGTATTGGGAGTGCAGTCTTCTCACTACTACTGTAAGTTCAAACTGGTCACAATCCACATCTGGATGTGGATGTTCATTATAAGCATGGTTTCCATGCAATATGTGAACCAGCCAATCTTCAGAAATCCATAAATCAAATTATGTTTGCTATCACATTTCTTTTCCTTTACTGTATACTGTATTGCACAAGACTTCTGCAAAGAGTTTATCTGAAACAGCTGTCATGAATACAAATGACTGGTCAAAATCCTCCTGCATAAACTTATGCCAGCATAGAACAAGTGGTGACTTCGGCAGATCCCACTAATTAAAAGAGTCACACGACAGTCACATGCAATGAGACAAAGCTGAAACAATGGAGAACTGAAGTAGGGTCTCTTTAATAAGCAGCCATCTGGTGCTGCCAGAGATGTCATTCCTACTACACCAGTGTAAGTTATGCAAGACAAACTCAGCCACTATTTTGTATATGCTGCCAGTCAACACAGGATTGGAAGGTCTGCTTCTGCTCTCAATAGAAAATATATGGAAAGGTTCTGATAAGACTTTTGCCACAAGAGATGATGAAATCTGGACAACCATCACATAAGCATATCATGTAGATTAGACCTCACTCTCATGAAAACATGCTAAGGAGATTTGGATTCCAGACACACAAACCTTTTTTGGATTTCCTTTTTGACTTCTTTCCTTTAGATTTTCGTTGTTCAGTCTGCTCCACCAACTCCTGTTCCTCTGTTACCACATCTTCTTTAAACTTTGATATGAGTGGTCTTTCCAGTGACCTATTTTTGCCATTACTTTCTTCCTCTGGGCCACTATGTAGATCAGAGAAGGGCATGGCACCATAATAACATATGTTCTACAGTTAATAAGGGTATGTTTAAATGCAACACTTCCACCAGAACTTTCCAAAACTAGACCTTCAACCTGTCTGAGATGCAAGCAAGAAGTGCTTGTTGTCTCCCACCAGCTGAGGAGCTGGGTTTGGGCAGAAGAAAAAAGAACCAATGTAAACATTAAAAATAAATTACTCTAATTTCTGAAGTGTCTTTGCTGAGAGAAGCCTAGTGTTGGAGGAAGGAAGTGTAAGCAATGCATCTTCTCTCTTCACCAAATTAAGCCTTTGCATTTCTGGTTTCAATATAGTTAGAAGACATGACATGGTGGGAAAGCCAATTATCATGAAAATGGAAGTATAATTCACTAAGTAGGGTGGCTGAAGACATTATGCTACACTATGCAAAACAGCAACTGGGACTCCCTCTCACGTTCTCAAGTCAAAGTACACAGTATCCAACCCAGTCAGGCTATTCAAGCACAATCCCACAACACAGGAAATCCCACAACCATCTTTCCCAGTAATGGCAGTAAAAACATAACAAGTGCAATCATCTTTAATTTGCTTTCCTTTCAAGACACTCAAAATCTGCTGCCTGAGACAGCTAACTTATGCTGCCCAATGCAAGTATGGTCCTAGGACGAAATCCATGTCTGCGGCTATGTGGGGGGGCAGGCCTCGGGGCTGTTTTTGCAGCCTGGACTTCCTGCTGCCAACTAAAATGTTTTTCCTGGGAGGGGGGGGGAAGTGAATTGCTGCTTCTGGAAGTTTCCAGAAACAGCAACTTACCCTTTAAGCAGGTTGCAGGGCCCATGCCTCCATTGTTCAACACACATCTACAAATACCTATTTCTAAAACCCAGAACAAGACATTATATCATTTCTCCCCCCTCCAACTCCATTTTTGATATTGTGCCCAGCGCCAGAGGGTCCTGGGAGCTACCAAAGTTGCCCATCTTTGGTCACTCCTGGCAGATGATAATCTGTTTCCAGGCAACTCATTTTCACAACAAATGGCAGTCATGAGCAAGCTGGGGAGGAATCAGGAAGTGTATGTCTGAGAATCATTTATTAAGAGCCAGAATTAACCATGTCAATAAGAATTTTCTCAGGAATTGGCAGGCTGCCAGGAAACAGAGCTTGGAAGGAGGAGAAATCAGGTAAAACTTTTGCTTGAACTCCCAGGAAAAGCACTAAGTTAAAAACCCTGCACTCCCTACTAAATCACAACACAGTCCTAAAGTATCATCTATTCGCTGTGTCAATTATATCCTCTCTACAGCCTAAGGCATAACTTTCTCAGAGGGAGAAATGATACACTGAACATCTGTTTTCAGATAATGGAACACCATTATATTTTCCCCAAAACATCAGAGTGAAGAAAAACCACACAACTCATTCCCATCTCAACAACAACAAAAAGTCAAAGAGCTGTTAAAAGACTAAAATCTACATTGATTTTCTGTTTGCCACCATACCTTGTTTGAGCTTCAGATATAACTGGTACCTCTTTTTTCTTTTTCTTCTTTTTGCTCACTTCATTGTTCAATACCACTTCATGGCTTTGAACACCGGAGGTGAATTCAGACATCTGTTCCTTAAGTTTCTTTTTAATTTTCTTCTTAATTGCATTTGCTTCTTCCTCAGCCACTTGCTGTTCATAGGCTTGGATGAGCTGTTCCTCCTCATCTAATTCAGATATAACCCTCACTCCGTTCAAGGCACCTTTTATGTTGCTGTCCTCTTTTTGATGAAGTGAATCTGCCTGTAATATACTTTTTGCTTTTTTCTTTGAAAAAACATGAATCTGTTTTTCAAAACTGTTCAACTCAGTCTCACATAGCTGTTCTTCCTCATTAAGTTGTTCTGGCAATTCCGTCTTTTTCTTCTTGTTCTTAGACTTCTTTTGCTTGCTCTCCTCTGCACTAACAACATTATTACTTATTTTTTCTGGAATCAAGGCTTTGTTTCCAAGCTTGTTTTTTGTAAACTGTGGATTGGTTTCCTCTGGATTATATGCGCTGTTTATATTTACTTCATTATTTTCACCTTCTTTGGAAGGATCAAGTTGATTTGTTAATGTCTCAAGCTAAAACAAAAACAAAATACTACTTATAAATTGCAAGCAATTATTTTAACATTAACATTTAGGTACATGCCTAATTTTATTATGTACAATGGGAACAATAAAGACTCACTTAGAAGTTAAGTGGCAACCAACAGATGGAATTTATACAAACATAAAAAGATTCCAGATTTCAGCAAACTTTTAATGTATCCATCCATTAATGAAGATGGAAATGGTTGGCCCTGGGAAATCATAAAACCCCATCAACTTCCCTCCTTCAAAAGGAGCTGATGCTACAAACAACACTCCAGATGATTACACACAGTTTAAAGGACAGAGTTCTAAAACATATGTTTTGCTCTAGCAAAACCTATGTAACTAAAACAGTCAACTGTACATTCAGAGCTTATCCAACTCACCACAATATTCTCTGGAACACTTAATTGTTTCTTCTTAGATTTATTTTTATTGGTTAAGGCAGCATGACTTCTGAATATTTCTTCAAAACGAACCTTGGTTTTTGCTTTGGCCTCACTCTCTTGTGGAAACAATAAGTAATGATTGATAAGGTTAATTAATTTATTAGAAAAAAACAAACTACTGGACATTTCTACTTTACAGCACAATCCAATGATTCTCTTTATCCAATGTAGGAAAGTAATGTAGGCTAACCAATTTCATGGCACAATTACTGCTGAACACAGAGAGTGTGAGCAAATACCCTATCTTTCCTATGTCATTCCTCCATGTGAAAATAGAAATGGCAGAATACAGACTTACAGTGGGGACCCGTAGTTCCATTTCTGCACATGGAACGTAATATTGAAGCAGACACTGCACTGATATGATGTGAATTCCATTCTTACAGTGTTGCTATTCCTGCCTCCCCCAACAACTTCCAACATCTCTAACCATGGGTCATAATGGCTTGTTTGGCCCAATTATAACACAACATTTATTTATTTATTTTTATTTATTTATTTCATTTATACCCCGCCTATCTGGTCAAATGTGACCACTCTAGGCAGCTTATGGGCAATGTAGCCTGGGCCATTTTACCTCTGAAAGAAGAGAAAATATTTTCACCAGACATTCAATATCAACATACACTTCTAGTTACCCTCAGTGTACAAACACCATCATGGCCAGGTTTGCATTCAAAAATATTATTCAGCATTAAGAATACTGTAGTTATTTGCTAAAACATAACAGTCAATATTTTTACTATTGAACATAACATGGCATAAACCAATAATTGCACCTGCTGGCATTTTCATGTATCTCAAAAGTAGATCATCATATTACAGTCTTCTTTCTCCAGTAGTTCATTCTGCATATAAAAAAACAGAATGTTACACAATGGTACTGCTAGTTAAGGCAATTCCTAACCTATAACAAAAGGCAAACTATTAGGTACAATACAGAAAGTCTTTGTAGGTTTGAACTGGTTCTAGTGGGCTGGAATGCCTGGCTGAGCCAAGGGTGGGGAGTTCAAACCCCCACCGTGCCTCAGTACAGAGAGGTCAGCAAAGATCATCTAAAGTGGTGTGTGTGTGATGGAATAATGTACTCTGCCAGTTTTCTGAACCTGGGAAGCTGCACAGCCCCAAAGCATCACCAGAAAGCACTGTAAACCACTTCTCAGTATTTTATAACTGAAAAATCCTGCAAGGGTTGCCACAAGATGGAGTTGAACTGACAACACATAATTATTATTTCTAGACTGGTTACTGTTTGTCATACCATTGATTGAACTCTGAAGCACCACTCAAGAGTTCTGAGTCCTATTTTACCACTTTACATTAAGGATGACACTCAAGAGTGTTATTTCCCCAGCAGCATAGAACACAAAGGACTGTTCAACTAGTGACTGAAGGGTTTTATTTAGCACTAAGAAATGCACTCTGCTTCACTCATGTTAAAAACCCATGAGTCCCATTCTTACCCCACACCTCCTCTTTTCTCTGCTGCCCTGAAAATTCTCCCTCACACCACACTCTCTCTTTCTCTCCACCCTACTACTCAATCAAGACTCTTATGTTCACAGATCTTTTATAATGGTGTTCCCTCGTCGATTCTGACTTGTGGTGACCCATTTCATGGGTTTCTAGAGAGTGAGTAGTCAGACGTCGTTTAACCATTCCCTTCTTCTGGGGGCATCCTGAGACTGTACAGCTTGCCCAAAGCCACACAGATTGTCTCTACCTACAGGAGGCACAAACTCCCAACCACTGACTCTACAGCCAGATACCTAAGCCACTGAGCTGTCCAGCCACAGATCTTTGAGGACCACGAAACAAAAGTACCTCTGGAGGAACCAACTGTATGTTGCTACCTATTGGGTTATTTTAAGTTCAAAGATCAATAGTATCCATGCAAGATGTTGTGTTTCTTATCTCTTACCATCATACAACCCCATTGATATCTGGTCAAGATGAAATCCACCTACTGTAGCTACTTAAATTAATTAATACTGTCCATGCAAAATATAAGCGCTTACCATTTTGCGCTTACCATTTTGGATAGCTCTGGAGAACAAATGAACAAAATGTTTTAATCCTTGAGGCGTCACAAGATTCTTTTTTGGGTATGTCTGTCACAACAGACTAAAGAAGTTATCTTTCTCCTGGAAACAGTGCACTATGTGTACAAGTGTTCTATGTTCATACGTTTGCTAAGCAACAGACTCATAAAGTTACATGGTTTATAAATTGAAAGTTTGTTTCATAGTATAAGTAGTAAGCAAAAAAATGGAGGGGGGGGGAGGTCGAAAGCACCAGAAGATGAAGATCAAATATGACTCACTAAAGGATGCCGCAGCCTTAAGGTTGCAACACCTGAGCTGTTAACCAAAGGACCTGTTGGAAGTTACTAATTAATAGGGTCCCCATAAGTTGGAACAAGTGACCTTGCACCACATAACAATGAGCATAAGCTTTTGGTCTAACGTCAAAAATCCTTTTCAATGGGCAAGTATCATTAGGCTCAGCTAAAGTATATCTTTTTTTTTATCTTAAACTACATTAAACCCCCATTTTTAATTAAACTTATCATGCCATCCAATAAATAAGTAGCAATGTAAAAAAGTCATTAATTATTTAAGGTTTCTCAGGGGCTTAGTGGCTCATAAAGGCTGACACACACCTTTTGTTGAAGTGAAGCTGAAATCTGTATAACCAAACAAAAAGGAACAAGGGCTCGTATAGATCAAAACCAGAGGCTGTGTAAGCGACATTCTCATGCCCAAGACAGCAAGAATTAGTAAAATATACATAA